ACTCAAGTAATACTGCTTTCAAGGTAAGTTTAGGTAGCCTAGTATGGAACGCCATCGCTGCCTTCAGTAACAGCTTACCATTCGGCGCATTTACATTCGGCCCTTTTACCATTACGTTCGGCTATTTCACCATTCGGCGCATTTTCATTTGGCACTTTTACCATTACGTTGGGCTCTTTTACCATTCGGCGCATTTTCATTCGGCCCTTTTACCATTACGTTCGGCTCTTTTACCATTCGGCGCATTTTCATTCGGCCCTTTCACCATTCGACGCATTTACATTTGGCTCTTTTACCATTACGTTTGGCTCTTTTACCATTCGGTGCATTTACATTCGGTGTAGTATTTTACATTCGGCGCAATTATAAATAAAATATAACCTTTGGCATTGGGTCAAATGAAAAATTTGAGCGGCTGTGGGAATGAGCCTATACAAGTTTAGTCGCAACCACCATAGAGCTATTTATTATTGTTATTATATCTCTATGGTCGCAACGCCGTACCATCCACCATGGCGCAAAGGATTAATAATGGTACTAGGCCTAGGCCTATTAAAGATGTACTTAATGAACTTCATTTAATGCATCTTCTGGAGAATTTCGAAAGGGAGAAGGTATTATTATTTTTATATTAATAATAGCAACAATAATACAGAAATAATAATAGTATAGGCCTAGGCCTAATGATTTATCAAATGATATGATAAGGGTCCTGCCTAGCCGGTTTTCACTGCTGGAGAGATGACAACAGACGAGGCATGCATGTGGGGTACTAGGGCTTCTTGGCCATATAGGGCCTAATGTTACTATATGGTTTAGGGGGTGGGGTTAGGCCTAGTTAGGGGTGGGGCCGAGAATATTCTGTAACATTAGGGCCTAGGCCTTGTCATATCACTGACCTTAATTAGGTTTCTGACATTGCCCAAGATTTTATAATTAAGCATCACGGCTCCCCATTTTTGTTTACTTAATAAATATAAACTAGGCCTTGGTCACAGACGTGGGCCACGACCTGGACTAATTGATAGTTAGCAGGCGTAGCCTATAGGCCTATGGCAGGACGTTATTTGACAGGTTATTAATTATTTTGCAACCAAACACAAATGACTGCTAATAAATGGCCAAAAATGTATTTTTTAAGTGACTTCAATAAAAATTTAAATTGAAGTTGAATTTTTTTAAATTCTCATGAACTCTTTGTAAAAGCCAACTTGTGTTTGTGCGTAGGGGTGCTGCATTGTATGTGTCAGAGACTTATTCTCTGTGTTATTCTTTTCAGATTACCAGTGACGAAATCTCCGCGCTGTCAGATGCCCAACTTGAAAATTTGAGTGTGACAACAATTGGTGATAGGCACCGACTAAGAATAAATTGTAGACAGACAGGTAGGCCTATTTGTACCTGTGTATTGTATCTGTCATAAAGTGAATTTCATATGTATATATTTTATGTAAGAATTTAAATTTAATATTTCATTTTATTTATTTTCCAGAATACATACCAGTTTATTGCTATTATGAAAGGTCACTGAATTTCCCAAATTATACATTGCCTGAATTGAGGCAACATACAGTATGTTTAAACCCACAATTATTATAGTATAGTATTTCAACTTTTCTCTAGAATTAACCTGAGTAAGGGCTGGTATGACAATAGTATTACAGTATCGATATAGCTTTCAAGTCTCGTGGATCTGGCGTCGATTTTGGTGTCTGGACTGTCTTACATCAGACCTTAAATATCACACTTTTTTTTTTTCTAGGTAGGCCACTATTACAGATGATCTGAAATGTGCTCCTAATTCACCTTAAGTTTACTTCAATGTTTTTTTTTAACCTGTTCTGTATTTTATAGGATCCATTTTGTCTAGATTTATGCCAGCCAGACACAGTCCCTACACCAAAAAAAAGGGAAAGCACTCGAAGACGCCATAGAATCGGAAGATAGTTTGCCTGTCAGATCCATTGACAATGATAACACCAACATGTTGGCAAAAGCAACAACCTAGCAGAAGCTGGGCTTGGTGAAAAAAACATAACAGTACATAACAGTATAAATCCGGATGAATTCCAGGAAGTACTATATGCTAACTTTCCCCAGCTGAGGGATGCTGGGGGTTTTGAGATAATAATATGCTTTGGGAGTGGAAGAAAGCTTACCCCAATTAGTGGGCATATTCACCCCTGAATATAAAAGAAAAATCAGGTCAAGGTAGAGTCTATATACGACCAATTCAACATGCACTAAATGTGGATTCAGAAAGGGTAAAGAGGCATAATATGATCAGTTATCAATCAATCAGTCAAATTCACCTATATAGAGCAAGTAGCCATTAAATAATATTCAAAGGCGCTCGAGTTATGTGTGAATTTGAAACACATCCTTAAGAAAGTTCTAATAGATAAAATATAAATGACAGTTTATAAATGATTATTAATTACATCATTTTTAATTGTTTACTCTTTTAGGAAACTGACTCTGGATTGACAGAAGTGTCCTAAATGCCAAAATAACATTTCATTCTGTGTTTTAAAGAAACATTTGGCAAGCTGTGCAAGTACTGTAGCAGGTAACTATGAAATATATTTCTATTTTGTATTTTTGACGTTTATAAATGACATCAATGAATGAAATCAATATGATTGATAAAAATATTCATACTTTCAATCTATACATAATTATTTGTTAATATTGAGTCTCTACGGAGCCCTGAAAGGGACTTGGTTAAAAAAAATATAAAGTATTATTTTGTGAAAATCTCCCCAAATAATATTTCCTTCCCTGAAAATATATTTGAATTCATATTAAATAAAGTCTCAGTATTGCATTGTTATTGTAAGAACAGATTCTGATTTCCTAGTGCTCGGATTTAACCAAAACCAACAATAGAAATCCATGTCCTTTCTAAAATTAGGCCTAATAGATTTGTTTGATTTGGCTTGTTTAAAAAAAATAGTATCTTTAATCATTAAGCGTTATTTTAAAATTGTTTATTAAATATTTTTACTGATCACTTAAATTTTATTAGACCTAGTCCTCCATCAACAGTATCCATACCACCTGAAGAACAGGTAAAACGAGCATTTTTGCTGTCACTGACTATATCTTTGTATAACATGTAATAATGATCACAACTGTTCGCAGCTGACTCGATTTTTAACTAATGTTTGAACTATAATAATAATTAATTTAGAAAAAATAATTCTCAATTTTCGAAAAAAGAAAAAATTGTCATCCAATGTTTCTGGAACAAAGTTAAACACAATTTACTGTGTAGGTAAGAGATTTCCCACATGAACTGTAATTTTTTTCTATGTTTTTTTTTTTTTTCAGGTTGAAGAAAGTGATACATTGTATGATCTAGACCTCACTCATAGTCATACTCCAATGAAGTTCATGTAAGTATAATGTATCTGAAGAATGTACTTTATTCTAAAAGAAATATTTGTAATAATAAAGCAAAGTCTTATTTTTATTTACAGCTATTCACCTTCTCTTGAGAAACCTTCCAATAGTACATTGTAAATTAGGTAGTAGTTCACAATTCACATAGACGTACTATACACTGTATTAATATGGAATCTGCCCCATCTCCCACTCCCCATGCGAAGGTGGTGAAGCATTCACCCTGAAAGCAAAGGTCCCAGCTTTAATCCCTTGAGATAATAATCAACTTATTTTATATTAAGGAATTGTTTTTACCATATTACAAAATCGACCAGTTACGTATTGATGTGGTCCAGGTTTGGACTGTTCCATTATAAAATAGGGGTGTATTTTTTGTTTTTGGTAAATTGAATTTCTTAAATTTAATTACCAGTATTATTATGTACAGTGTTAGATGTTGTGATTCGTATTTTATGTTATAAAATTTTTATATTTCCTTATATTTTTTATTGTATTCAACATTATAATATTTTATTTACATTAATTTCTTTTATATTAACACCATCTATCTTTCCCATCAGGAAGGCGGATCAAGAACTTCAGACGTCTACTTGACCGTTTTTTTGAGCTGAACCGCACTACACTTACCAACCAAGCAGTATGTGACATTTGTGTGCAGTTGAACCGCACTACACTTACCAACCAAGCAGTATGTGACATTTGTGTGCAGTTGACAGGGAAGAATATAATGTATTGTAAATAAAGTAATATAATGTAAATAATTAAATAAATGAAAAATAATTTAATATATTTGTAATTAATGTATAATGCAGTAATTGTTATTAAACAGTTTCTATGGTTCTAATCAATAAATGCATCACTATTATGTTCAGTTACATGTTTCTCCAAGTTTATTGAGTGTGAATTGTACTTCAAGTTTTTGCAGCATCATAATTTTCTAATTAAATTTTCTGTGGAATAGCAGTCATACAATTGTTTTTTTTTTAATTAGGCAGCTGCTGTGTTTTGTTAAAAAAAAAAATCATGATGCTGTAAATTACATAAAATTCTTTAGTTTTTTTTGTACAAAACAAAATATAGACACACTATAACATCAGAAGTTGGTGGCCATTTTGAATATATAATTACAATACCAATGTTCATTAATGCACAAGTAGCATGGTACCATTGCCGCTGGAGAAACACCGATGTCCAAGTCTGTTTATTTATTCAAGATTTTTGTTTTGGCGGACATTTTGAAAAGTGACAGCCTTTTTAATGAAAGTATTCTTGAAATAGGTAGCTGAATTTGGAACAGAATCATTCCTAGAGATCTGAAAACATGCAAAAATTCTTACAACACATGATATTATTACTTATTTTTAAAAAATTCTCAACATTTAAATGTTTAATGTGAAATTTGAGGAAACTGGCGGCCATTTTGAATATACAATTAGCAAAGTTTGGTGATGCATATCACGCGTAACGCCATCCTCGTTCCGTTATCAAGTGATGGTTTTATAGATTTTTCATTCTTTGGGGTCCAAGCCTCAATATATTATGATATAATTGCACTATACAATAAGCTACATTAATTACTATACATTAATGCTTATACCCTATATTTGTCCTCATTTTGGTCGAAATGAATAATGTTCAAAAATCCGTAACTCCGCTTTGGCTTATCCCATAGGAATGGTTGAACCCTCATTTTAATCCTATTTTTATGTACAATCCATTGGTATTACTTCTAAAATGAAATATTTAACTTTAAAATTGCATGATTCTGCCTAATTATACTGTTTGCCATAATTCTGCCATAGGCTCTAGCTAGGCCTACTTCTTCTAGTTCTTATAGGCTCATTCCAACAGCCGTTGAAATTTTTTATTTGACCCGATGTCAAAGGTTATATTTTATTTGTAATTGCGCCGAATGTAAATACGCCGAATGTAAATGCGCTGAATGGTAAAAGGGCCGAATGTAAATGCGCCGAATGGTAAAAGGGCCGAATGAAAATGCGCCGAATGGTAAAAGAGCCAAACGTAATGGTAAAAGGGCCGAATGAAAATGCGCCAAATGGTGAAAGAGCCGAACGTAATGGTAAAAGGGCCGAATGCAAATGCGCCGAATGGTAAAAGAGCCGAACGTAATGGTAAAAGGGCCAATTGTAAATGCGCCGAATGGTAAGCTGTTACCGAAGGCAGCGATGGTGTTCCATAGCCTAGCTAGGCCTTTACTTCTACAGTTCTAGGCCTAGGCCAAACGTGCGGTCAACATTGTGCGTGTACCGTCAGTGCGTGTTAGTTTGTTCGGGTCTCCGTAAGGCCTAGACTCCAAGTCAAATTGCTATTGTGATATAACTCGAATAAAATTCGACTTTGCTTTAGTCAAATTTAATCTAAGTCGAACTATATTTCAGTGGCACTTTAGATTCGACTTAGAAGAGTTTCGACTGTATACAAATATTTACTGCTCATGAGGGAATAATAAAATCTATTGCCTTTTGGTGATGTGATAGACCGTAGCCTATCTTCCGGAGGGCCGAAGCGAATGTAGAGCAGTCAATATTGGTTTTATATAACTCATACATACAGTAGATTCTACAAGGCCTAAAAAAGTACTTACTTCCTTGGCTCGCATAGAGGCCTACTAGGGCTTAGGCCTAGGCGATCAAAGATTGTGACTAGCTCTTCTTTGCTCATTTCCTTAATTTCAACCCATTGTCTTGCAATATTTGTCTTTTGGTGCTTTCTATTGGCTTCGTCTAGAAGTATAGGCCTAGGTTAGTTCTTCAAACAAAAGCTCGAACCGACAACCTCCATAATTATTCTTTATCGTCAACCCGCTGATCCGTGGCGCGGTCAAGGGCCAATCTCTTTTGTCGTAGAGGTCGCAGTCCCTCTACCTTCAGCGCGATAGTGGAGCGTAGAGTTTGCACCACGCGACATTTCCAAAAAAGTACTATTTTTTGGGGATTCTATTGCCTGCTTCTTAACCAATCAGATGCCCAGAATCTATGTATGAGGTATATAATAAAGGATAGTTCAAGTTTATTTTAAATCTCATTTGCAGCGAGAAGCTGATTTGTACATAAAAGATAACATATGTATATAAATATAAACTGTACATGAATACATAAAATGAAAATTGAATGAGAATAATATTTACAAATTTAATTACAATGGTCAGAAATTACAATTTAATTATAAAAATCATTATTACAAATTACAACATCAACATTATGCATACATGCAAACATTGGGACTAAATACGATAAAATATAAGTAAATAAAAAACATGATAAAGTGGTAATTTCATTAATTAATATGTTAGACGGCATTAAGAATAGAATCAAGGTGAGAATGACAGTTATTATTGGTCAGTAAGGCATGTATGGACAAAAACAAAAATTTAAAACAGGGGTTTCCCTTAAGGTTTTTTTTAACTAGCCAAGTGGACCAGTAAATTAATATTTTACTGGTCCTCAATCCCTTTCACTATCCACTATCTTGCCAACTTCGAAAGGCCCAAATACCATATTTGTGACATGCTAATCATGCTGGCCATCACCGGTGAAGTAACACTGACAGATACAGAAAAATCGTTCTGTTGTCTCTATGAAATTATGCCGCGAAATATAAATACAGGAATCTATTTGTATGTACAGTGCACACAATACGATGTTCGGTTTTCCGGAAAGATCGGTTTGTGGAACATTTCTATTGAATCCTTTCCGAATAAGGTAGGCCAGTTAGGGCCAAGCCTAGATGAGGCTTAGCATAGCCCAGTCAGTGAATTCAGTATGACTAGTGTAACCCTGTGAAATTTTTACTCTTTTAAAAGCTTTAAATTTGATATTACTTTTGCCACTCTATAAGGTATAAACGTTATTTTATTCCATTTAAGTTTTAACTTTGGTATATGTACTGTACTGTATATACTATAGCTGAGGCCACTCAGTGTAAGTGTCCCTGCTATTCTCATTAGTGGTTATGTTTAGGAATTTGTCCTCAGTTGCTAAGGCAACTTCTGGGCAATAGGTGCTATCGGACACCCCACAGTGATAGGCTATGTTCACACACACGGCGTAAGGCTGGCTTAAGCCTGGCGTAGCGTACGCCTTTGTGTGTGAACTAGGCTGTGGCGTTGTTAAAGCCACTCACTACGCCACGTCCTTGGCGTTATAAACGCTACCTGCAGACCCCAGATTAGCTAACGCCACTGAGCTAACACCAGTGATGCTTGAATGATTTGACCTCATTTCAAGAGATTGACCAATCACGATTGCAATATATTAGCTACTTTGGTCTCTTTTCTGTGCTCTCTATAAATGAAATGGTAAAGGGGTTCCTTTTCTATTGCATTTTACTTAGTTATAATGTATATGATTTATTGATTGTGTTTTTTAACCATTTAGACTGTCTATTAAAACATGCAACATCAACAATGCTAGCTGAAAAATCAATAGTAAAATTGTTCATTTAAAATACAATAATCATTAAGTTCACTTCGAACAATTCACAGATTTAAAAGTTTTCATGATGCACTGTTAATTTTACTACTGTTAACACGTACATTATTTAAAACTAAAAACTACCTATATTACTGCTAGTTTAACGAACGCCGTTTGTGTGAACACTTTGGAATTTTAATCCGTGGATTAGCTTACGCCTGGCGTAAGCCACGCCAGTCTTACGCCGTGTGTGTGAACATAGCCATAAGGAATTCACTTCTCACTGACCCTGCTTACAAGCAACATCTGTAAGGATTGAGGACCTAATATTTGCCACACCTTATTTGAGAAGTCATACTTTTAACATCTTTTATATTGCAATTTTATCAACCCGGAGAAGTCTTACTTTTACCATTTTTATACTGCATTTTATCAACTGTTTATGATTTGACACCTTGGCTCTTTTATAGGTAAGAATCATAATTTCCTGTTTTGTACTTGATTTAATTTGATTTAACGTTAGTTTATCTACAATATGATTTGTAGCTCGTACTAGCTTTCAACGGAACAATTAAGTTGCAGTGTTCTGCTCTTGATTTAGGATTTGCCTAAATTTTATAAACTTTTAATTATACTATATTGTTAATTTGCTTATCTTATATTGTAATACCATTTGCAATTGCGCTTGGTAATTTGTATTGTTATGTACAGTAACGTTTTGCAATCACACATTGTCTCCATTTGATAATTCATAAAGTCAGTAAAGTGATTTACTTTATGTTAAATAAGCCTAAATTCTGAGTGTATCAGGACAATTCTGGTGGATATGGTTCATTCACTAGAGGGCAATACATTCACGTTATAGTGGACCTGGAGGCATTGGAGTGCGATTGTAAAATTATTACTAAGTTACTTTTAATGTTTTTTATCTTTATCTTTATGTTTTATTCTTTAATTTATCATTTTAAAAAGGAACGAATGCATTAACCAACTTGATCTTAAGTACGATCATGATATTCAGATAGATGAAGTATATGCCAGTTTTAGTGGAAAATAGGCAGGCATAATATTTGATTTATTAGTAATAATTTATCCGTTAGGTTGCATCTTAGCGAAATGGTATAAAAGTATTAGCATACTGTACTTACCTAACCTGAACCTAAGCTATTTATGTAACTATGTTGTTTAATTAATTTGGATGTGTATCTTGAGCTAATCAGTTTTGAACTAGTGTAATGTTGACTGATATAGTAATCGAAACGTTTAACTAATTTTTAGTTTTAATGTTGGTTAATTGCAAGCACTATACAATTTTGATAGACTAATTGTATTGTACATCATGGAATGATGTACAAGTATTGATATATTCGTATATTTTATTAGTTTAGATCTTTTAGTTTTAAGTGTTTATATTTTCTCTTTTATAGACAAAAACTTAATTTCAGATATTATAATTTTGGATTTAACATAACTATTGGAAAGGACCTGTAATCTTACCAGCAATTGGAAGTGTGGAACTCTTTTCGTACATTGAACTTCTTTTAAAACTCTTTTGGAAACACTTGGACAAGAAAGAACAATTTCGCGATCAAGAATTTGCTCAACCTAGATTCTATTCATATTGTGAAATCAAATCTCACCAATTCACTTTTTTTTTATTTCAAAAAAATACTATATATATATATTTTAACAAGGCGTCTTCCTGGATTATTATTTATTTGTAATATTGTCCTAGAATATTTGGTTTTCAAGGAAACTCGGGTTACACTAGCCTACGAAAAGTTAACATATTATTTAACATATAATTCGTACAGTACCTGTTGTTTAGTTGTAGTGCACAGAAAATTGAATTACTGTACCAATAAAATGAATGCTTTATATTGTTTTTACGTGCATTTTCGGTCTGACATTTTTTTCTAAACTGTAAACACAACACATTCTTCGTAGTCACGATGCGAAATGCGTTGTAAATATCAGGTCGCGCCTCCTAAACTCTGCCCGCTAATTGGTTAATTTTTTTCCTGGGGTCATGTGGCTGGGCAAAAATCCCATGTTCTTGGCTGTCATGACGTCAGATCGCCCAAAGTTTCATAGTGCGTTACAGCTTGTTGAATGTTTAATTAAAAAAATTTATTAAAATAAATAAGAAACCCTCGTGGTTTTGTTTTAGAGTCAAATCTAAAATAAATCTAACAAATTTAAATTTCATTCTCTGCAAATTTCCAATTTTTTGGGGGAATGTGAGTGTAGTTTACATGTAGACTGATACATGAAGCTAATGACATACCAAATCCGAATTAAACGTCTACTGAAAAAGAGCCGTCGTAGAAACAATTGCTTTGGGTTCCTTTTTCATCCCAGGTTGATTACAATCGATTTTTAAGTATTCATAAGGCGATAATGCACTTTATTAAAACAATGGAAGGCGTAACTATCACTTTATCTAACATTTTACTGGTGTGTCATTTTAATTAATAGATAATCTCCATGACAACGCTATTGGGACTATGCTCTGTAGGAACGGTTCATTCACAGTATTTCGTCCGGAAATCGTTGCGTTGTTTATTAACTTTTTGTCCCACGTTGCATTGTGGGATGGATACATGACATGGATGTTTTAACTTCACGGTGCTCACACAGACGGAAATCAACTTCTCCTTGTCGCTGTAACATGCGGAGAAGGTGATTTCCCTCTGTGCGTCTAGTAGCCATGGCCTAGATACTGCGTGATGTTCATCTGTTCGCCTTGAATGACTGGGCCCAAGGCTGTTCGTAGCTGACATTAAAACTTTCGAAGTGTCTATGCTTACGCCTAGTCGTAAGCATTAGTCATAGGCTATGCTTACGCCGATCTATTGAGCATGCGCAGGGGTGGCGTAAGCATTATTTCGAGGCTATGCTTACGCCGATCTATTACTGCATGCACAGGGCCGGCGTAAGCATTATATAGTTGCTATGCTTAGGCCGGATTGCTAGTCAACGTAAATAGTCAACTCGTTGATCTGCTTACTATTTCACGTTGTCGAGGCATGAGCTTTGTCTAGTCTTAATATATTTCCTCCATGGTCTAGTCCACAGTTTTCCAAAAGAACAGGCATCGTCATGAACTGAGGCAGACATATTAGTACACATTCCCACACGAGGACCCAATTTTAGTTTCTGTAGCACTTGCCTATTTAGCCTGCCTTACTTCACTTTTCTCAAGTACTCCATATCATCCTTGTGTTAAAATATTTGACCTGGCCAAGCTCTTGTACTTTGCTCATGAGTGCCGTCTGTTCATTGTGATACAGTACTTCATTGTTAGATAGGCCTATCTAGCCCAATTTATGTTGATATTGATACAATACGATATCTGAAATAATAATGACAATGTATCTATGTATGATGATGTGTAGAATGTTGGAGATGACCTGCCTGCTGCAGTGATATTCTGATTTTAAATCATTGTCCTGTACATTACAGTACATAATTAAAAAGCGAAATCAAAAACAAGAATTTCCCCTAGGGTGCTCTTATCTCAATCCCTCACCCCGACATTTCCAACATCTATTGATCCGTGTCCCTATAAAATTCTTAATTTTCCTATTATGAACAAGTACGCATACAATAATTACAAGAGAGCGTGACACAGTTTCAATCCAATTTTGTTATTAATATACAAAAACACTGTAGTATATTTTGGTTTAAGCACCAAGGTTTTTAACAACTGAAATGTTTGAAAGGAAACTCTCTTAAAAAATAACTTTCTTTTTCTCTACTAACTGATTCGATGTGCAACAACTGTACCACGAAATATGGGCTGTACTAACTTAGCTCTGATTATTAACATGGTGAGAACCATGAATGCAGGCGTAATCGATTGAATAGAATTTTAATTTGGGGTTAAAGTTTCTTTTAGGTGCACGTTTTTTGGCAGAATCGATGCTACGTGAAGGTCGTTTATATAAATTTGTGATTTTCTTTCTCCCAATTCGATACAGCTTCTGACAATTTTTCATAGCTTGTGAAAGTGCCACCGAGATGCAAAGTGTCTTCATCTGCCATCTTGAAACTTCACCAAGTGCGCGCTACAGAAAAAAAAATATTTGCACATGCTCAATAGGACGTTTTCGTACTCACGAAGCAAGCGGCGCCCTTCAAATAGATTCTCGTAAGCATAGCCTATGATTAATGCTTACGACTTGGCGTAAGCATAGACACTTCGTAAAACTTTAGGTATTTCGGCAGACTTTCGTTCAGGTGCAGGTAAAATCCAGAATTTCCTTACATGTAGTTGAATTAAAATATAAGGCAAAGGTTCAGTAAAGTAGAAATGGAGGCAGCATGGATAACCACAATTTTTAAGTCAAAAGATAATCACTGTATTTGTCCATAAATCCAATAAAAACCTATGGTCATTTTTAGAATTTTAACACACTCAATGAAACTCATTTGCCACCATGGGGAAGGGGGATGCATGCCCATGCTGTCTGAGAAAAAGCAGTGCAGAGGTCTTTAAGTGAGATGCCAGATCTCTTATGCATAATAGCAAATGTGTTCAAAAAATGACTTCACCATTGGCCCCCAGGTGGAGCAACCATATGCCAAGTTTCTTTTAGTAAATTAGATTAGTAGATACCATTCATTCCAGCATGGTAATAATATATAGATGCTGCTTAACTATCTCAATTTGCTTGAGACCAGTTTTGAATTCTCAAAATTACTGCTGATATCTGTATCTGTAAGTAAGGCTGCTGCATTAGACCTCAATGTTTGTGTTCTGGCACAGATGGTATGCAAGTTTGCTTGTGATTACTCTGTAAAAATGGAGAGAATCTTCAACACAATAATTGTACAACAAGCCTTGAAGCATACACAATCAACAAAAGTTCCTTTGAAAACAGCTCATGCTATGGTAACTCGCCTTTCGGCCCATCAGCTGTACACAAAAGTAATGGTCTCCAGCAGTGATTGAAATTAAACCAGATACCATTGATGTCCATATTCAATGTGCACAATTGCTACCGTCATTTTAGACCAGCACTGATTGAACTATGCTACTCTGTGTATAATTAGTAATTACTACTATAGAGTTATATATTCTTACTAAATTTTTTTTTTCATTTTCTTAATCTACATTATCATTTGTATTTTTAGGTGTTATTGTTCACAATGTAACACTGGCAGTTACTGGAGCTGATGATCAACCTCTCTGTGAGGCTAACATGTCATTTCCCTTGGATCTTAACGTTGAAATCCACTTAGCTAGTAACTCCAGAACTTTAAATGGTAAGTAAACTCAATATAATAATAATAATATGTAGGTTTTTATAAAGTGCTCTATACAACTAAGTCTCAGAGCGCTTTTCCACATTATTACCCCAGTCATTGGAAGCAGCAGCTACATCAGTGCATTTTGGTTTTTAACCCAACCTGGTACCCACTTATACTCCTGGGTGGATAGAAGCAATGCAAATAAAGTGCCTTGCTCAAGGACACAAGTGAAATGCACAGCAAGGGATTGAAATATGTTTTTTCAAATAATATCATTCTTGACATTTGTCAATAGTTTATATAACACATTGTTTTACCCATTTTTGCAATTTATCACTGTTATATAAAAAAGTAAAATAAATAGAAATAGCGAATTACTAGTTCCTAAGTATCAACTTATTCACAATGATCGCAGTAGATCGTCACCTCCAGCACACCATTCAATCTGATAAATACTGTTGTTAGCTTGGAACATCTGGCAATCAAAAAGAATAACACTGGCCAGAGTGTAACAATTACAGCACTACCTTGTACAGACCTCCATGAGCAACAGTAGCAGTAGCATTCATCCATGAACTCAAACATTATCTCGAACTCTTGAACACTTACACAAAACATTTTATTTCGACAGGTGATTTTAATTGTGATTTTATTCATCCTAATAACAACACTGCATTTAATTGACATAGCAGCATAGTTTTAATTTGGTTCAACTCATTACTATACCAACACGCACAACTCAAACATCTTCGACTCTCATTGACGTCATATTTCATTTCATTTATTTCATCCAAAAAACATTAAAATTGACAAACACAAGATAACAAGGAACAAAAAACAACACTTAGTTGGCCGGACAGGATTGCCAAAAAGTGAACTGAATCACTGTCTAGTGGCTCTCCGATGCCAATGAGAACATAAATCAAATTAGCATGAAATACTCAAGTAAAATAGGCCAATCAATAAAATTTAAATTAAAAAAATATATATGTACAAAATCATCAGTGAAACCTGTCCAAAAACATTAAAAATTTGAAAAAGAAAAAAAAAAGTTTTGTCACCAACAGCATACACATGCACATGCACATTAACATTTCTCCTTGTGCAATAGTGATCATGACCTTATATGGACCATTATTAACGTTAAAACTAATTCTAACCAACATTTTACTAAAACATTTAGAAGTTTTAAACATTTTAATCCTAACTTATTTTGACATGATTTACAATCCACTCCTTTTCATTTGGTAATCCAAGATGTAACTTTGATTCTGCTGGGGGCAAGTTTGCGATATATCTTTAGGAATGTTTCTAATTATCATGCTAAATTACTAGATGTTTCAAATCTAAGCTTCCTGATTGGCTGTCAAATCGTACAGATATTTTTAATATGATGCATCATGATCATGTAAGGTCCGTAGCCAAAAGAACAGAACGTTGATGAATGGAGAAGAGCAAACGATGCAAAGAATAGAGTTACTTCCCTTTGTAAGACTGCTACCATTGAATTTTACAAAAAAAAAACATATTAAACTAAATGAAGGTAATTCTAAAAAAATGTGGTCAGGTTTGAGACACCTTATTTCTTCATGTAAACCATCTGCTGTTCCTAGGACCATAATGGTTAATGATCAAGACATTTCCAATGAATTTGAAGTCGCCGAAGCATTTGATATTTTTTTTTACTGATAATAGGTACAGAACTTGCAGAAACAATACCAGACAGTACTACTGACCCTTCTACCTATTTACAATTTCAAGAAAGCAATAGTACCTTCTATTTTGAAATGATTACTAATGATTTTGTTTTAAATGAGATTTTAAATATGAATATTTCCAAGTTGTCAGGTCTGGACAACATGACTGGGAAGCTTTCGATGTCGGCAGCCCATGTCATTTGTCCTATTATTACTCATCTATGTAACATGTCTCTTTCACGTATAAGAGACAGGTTATACTCCTGGGTGGATATTCCTCAGGACTGGAAAAGGGCTTTGGTTACTCCGGTTTTCAAATCTGGTAATCCCTGTCGCATTGATAATTATCGTCATATTTCTGTTCTTCCTTTCTGTTCAAAAAATCACCGAGAAAGCTGTTCATTCCCAACTGTACAATCATCTTTTTATTACTAATCTTTAGAAAAAAAGTCTGCCTAATATATATTGTTAATATGAACAAAATGCTTAAGCAAATTAAACTCATGATTAATAAATGCAAACGTTGGAATCTTACATTCAGCGGCTGTTGACACGTAAACTATATGTTTTACATTGAAATTAAGATCAAAATATGTTAATAAAAAATGTAATTATTATCATGGTTACATCTTACATTAGCATTTATATGATGTAATTTAACTAGATTTTATTAATATTATATGTTTCCCCCCTGTGTAGATAATGAAGCCTCAAACATTTGGAACCTAACATTGTTCACCAGTCCTCAGAGTAATGGCAGCGTAATCAGTGGCACTGCCACTGTCGTTCCGTTAACAGCTCAACAGTTGGCCTATGGGGTAGACACTGTTAATCCTCGGGTATTTGAAACACCTGATACTCCTTTAAATACATATGGCTTGATCTGTGATGACATGCAGTACCTCTGTATCTTGGCTTCCAAGCGTAGTGATGTTACACCAGATATTACTATCTCCTTTCCATCTGACCCATCTTGTATTCCTGTAACATGCAAAGGTTAGTGACAGCTTAAAACTGATTTACTTTAATACTCAAGGACTTAAATCCAAAGTGGTATGTAAACATTATCAAAAGACACAAATTTATAATAGCAATGTTTGTGGTGACGATGTTGGGGATTTTGATGATGTTAGTAGTTATAATCTGATAAACATGATTACGGTATCATGACAAATGATGAATGTGGTATTTATGTAGGTAATGAAACTGTTAATTATAACTGTTCTATCATCTTAAACTTCTTTTTATGATGATATGATATAATTATTGTGGTGATGGTATAACATGATAATGATAGTGATTTTGAACATGATGATGATAATAGGATAGAATCAATACATCGGTTTTTCAATTATTGTTATTATTATTATTATTCATTATTATTATTATTATTATTATTATTATTGTTATTGCATTATTATGCTAATGGTAAAAATGTTAATGATGATAAATATTCTAACATGCTCTATGTTCTTACTCAGGTGTTATCATTGATGGTGATACTGGAATTTTAGATATTTACAATGAGATCAAGGAGCATTCACCAACTAATATTACATTTGGTTTTGAGATCGAATCCAGTGCTTTAAGTGCAGTTCTGAGCGGAACAGACCTGTGGCAATTCAATGTGTTTGTCAGTGCAAATCAGGATGGCTCAGGAGAGCACTATGGAGAAACTTTCGCTTCTCTATCAGACGAACAGAAGAGCACCGTGATATCTACATCTGGCTCAACATTGGAGTTCACAGGTATTGCGGCATCATTGGACTTGGCTGATCTGAAGTGTTTTGATGATCCTACCACCTTTTACTACCTTTGTGTTGAGTTCATGCGGGATCCTGCAAGTACCCCAACATTTAGTATGACAACAGTTTCTGGAAATCCTCTGACACCCTACTGTGCCGTTGCAAATTGCCGTGGTAAGCTGATTAATGAATGTATTTTATTAGCCAAACGTACATGAACTGTTTCATAAATTTAAATTAACAGACTCGATGTTAGTTCGAGCTAGGGTTTTTGTTTTCTGTTTTTGTAACATCAGCGCATAGAGACCATGTATGAGCTATACAAATCCCCAAGCATTACCATCATCATTAACACATAATTATCATTATCATTATCTTCATAATCATCATTATTTACATCCTTTATCACCATGTATTATTTTTTCCATTGTCAAAATCTTAATTCAGATTATTGTGCCCATTAACATAAAATTTTACCATCATCATCACCAAAATTATCATTGTACACCTATGTTTATCATCATCAGAACCAAAATCGTCTACAGTAATCATTTCTTTGCAATTTAAATAAAACCATCCTTGCTATCATCGTCAACTGTTGTAGTCATCATCATCTTGGTCATCATCATCATCAATACTATCATCATCATCAGCATTAACATCAACATCAATATCAGGGGTTTCCCTTAAGGTTTTTTTTAACTAGCCAAGTGGACCAGTAAATTAATATTTTTACTGGTCCTCAATCCCTTTCACTAGCCACTATCTTGCCAACTTCGAAAGGCCCAAATACCATATTTGTCCATCACCGATGAAGTAACACTGACAGATACAGAAAAATCGTTCTGTTTTCTCTATGAAATTATGCCGCGAAATATAAATAGAGGAATCTATTTGTATGTACAGTGCGCACAATACGATGTTCGGTACGATGTTTGGTTTTCCGGAAAGATCGGTTTGTGGAACTTTTCTATTGAATCCTTTCCGAATAAGGTAGGCCAGTTAGGGCCAAGCCTAGATGAGGCTTAGCATAGCCCAGTCAGTGAATTCGGTATGAGTAGCCTATGAAAAGTTAACATATTATTTAACATATAATTCGTACAGTACCTGTTGTTTAGTTGTAGTGCACAGCAAATTGAATTACTGTACCAATAAAATGAATGCTTTTATATTGTTTTTACGTGCATTTTCGGTCTGACATTTTTTTCTAAACTATAAACACAACATATTCTTCGTGGTCACGATGCAAAATGCGTTGTAAATATCAGGTCGCGCCTCCTAAACTCTGCCCGCTAATTGGTTAATTTTTTTCCTGGGGTCATGTGGCTGGGAAAAAATCCCATGTGCTTGGCTGTCATGACGTCAGATCGCCCAAAGTTTCATAGTGCGTGACAGCCTGTTGAATTTTTAATTAAACAAATTTATCAAAATAAATAAGAAACCCTCGTGGTTTTGTTTTAGAGTCAAATCTAAAATAAATCTAACAAATTTAAATTTCATTCTCTGCAAATTTCCATTTTTTTTGGGGGAATGTGAGTGTAGTTTAAATGTAGACTGATATATGAATCTAATGACATACCGAATCCGAATTAAACGTCTACTAAAAAAGAGCCATCGTAGAAACAATTGCTTTGGGTTCCTTTTTCATTCCTGGTTGATTACAATTGATTTCTAAGTATTAATAAGGCGATAATGCACTTTATTAAAACAATGGAAGGCGTAACTATCACTTTATCTAACATTTTACTGGTGTGTCATTTTAATTAATAGATAATCTCCATGACAACGCTATTGGGACTATGCTCTGTACGACCGGTTCGTTCACTGTATTTCGTCCGGAAATCATTGCGTCGTTTATTAACTTTTTGTCCCACGTTGCATTGTGTGATGGATACATGACATGGATGTTTTAACTTCACGGTGCTCACACAGACGGAAATCAACTTCTCCTTGTCGCTGTAACATGCGGAGAAGGTGATTTCCCTATGTGCGTCTAGTAGCCATGGCCTAGCTACTGCGTGATGTTCATCTGTTCGCCTTGAATAACTGGGCCCAAGGCTGTTCGTAGCCGACATTAAAACTTTAGGTATTTCGGCAGACTTTCATTGAAATTTTAACTGGTCATGCGGACTTGTTATTGGGATAATTAACAGGTCCGCCATACATTTTACTAGCCATTGCCGGCGGACCAGCGTTGTTTTGAACCCTGAATATCATCATCATTATTAACAACATGTTAAAGAACAATTGTCATTATATCATCATTTATCATCACTGATGTTGTTATTGCATCAATTTTGCTTTAATTTATAGGTGTTGAGATCACAGGTACATCTGTCTCTACCTCAAGTGGTGATCCAGTTGTTGAAAGAAGTAATAATACAATTACATTTTCAATGATCGTCTCATCTGATGCGGATGGGGCCAGTATATCTGGTGATAATCTTTGGAAGCTTACTGCAGATCTGAAGGACAGGGTAACGTTGGTTGATATATTAATTTATTAATTAATTTATTTGTCCTTAAACAACAGTGTTTAGTTTAATTTTATGCAAAGCCTATTAAGAAAATGGCCTTAATATCCTCAAAACATCTAAACCCCTCAAAGCATCTAACCCACTTGGCACCCCCAATCTTGTTTAACATTGAGAGGGATTGAACCTAAATTCATGGGATTGGAAGGTCAGCATCCTAAGCACAGCTATTAAACTACAGTCTAGTGGTAGCTCCAGAAATTTGCTTACAGAAGGTCACTCTAAGATGTCCGACAGAAGATTCAAATAAAGTGGCTCCCAGAATAAAAGATCTCTGGTAGGGTTCATGGGGAGAGTATGACCTAAATATGCTTTTGCACCACAATATTTATTTGACCTGAAACAACAGTGCAACAGTGTTTAGTTTCATTTTATGCAAAGCCTATACATCAAAGATCTTATAAACACAAGATAGCGTTCTCCGGGATTTACGCGTGCAAATTCTGTAATAAGGCATGAATGGCGCCCTCTTGCTAAATTGGAAACTTTTTACCCTTGACCGCTCTGATCTAACCATACAGTACACTGCCTGTGAACAGCAGAACAGGAACCATCTCAGATCCATGGCAACAGATAGGACGCCCTCTTCCAAAACTTATTACTTTTTCTCTTCGGTAATAGCGCATGAATGGCGCCCTTTTGCTAAATGGGAAACTTTTGAACCTTGACCGACACTTCTATTTGTTACGCGTAAATCGCGGAGAACGCTATCTTGTGTTTATAAGATCTTTGCTATACATCCACAAAAAATCAAACCCCCTTGGCACCCCAATCTTGTTTAACAGTGAGAGGGATTGAACCTAAATTCATGGGATTGGAAGGTGAGCATCCTAAGCACAGCTATTAAACTACAGTCCCGGAATAAAAAAAAAACGTTCACGGGGAGAGTATGATCTTGTCTGGAAATATTGTTAAGTTAGGAAAAAAAACAATTTATTACATTCTAAATATCTGTTTTACAGAATAGAAATAACTTCACCCCTGAAGAGAATGTTGTGATATCTGTCAGTGAGGCCAGTAAAGACATAACTGCAGGAACAGATATTCAGCTTTCGGATCTAACAGTAACCGTAGATTTAACAGACTTTATCTGCCCTGCCACAGTTCAGTTATGTGTTATCCTGGAGAAAAATGATGCTGCCAATCCAGATTTCACATTTGACCCAAATACTGGTGTCTTCCCATCCTGTGTAGATATTGACTGTGAAGGTAACTATTGTTATTTTCATGTTGCATCCTTATCTTGCGTAATGCTTTTTTGCTGGAAGTGCATCATATTTTTGATATGTCACAAGTTGCTCAGATTTATATAATCTCTATCTTTATTAATTTTATTAGAATGGTTACACCAACATTTCAAATATCTGGGGAGGATCTTTTTTATGACATTTTATTTGCTGTTGGAATCTATGGTATTTTAATAAGCTCAATTGATTATTCTTCTAGGTGTTGTTATTACCAGTTCTTCATTGACGGAATCCAGCGGTATAACCTTCAAAGAAGGTGCAAGCAATCAGGTTGTAGATCTTGACTTGCGCTTCATGGTGGCAGAGGATGCAGGAGGAATTGATGGGAGTGATCAGTGGGCCATTGAAGTATTTGTAAATAGTGAGTCTGATGGCACTGGTGTTATGTATTCAGAATTGTATGGTGTACTTCCACAGAATGTTGCAAATATACCTGCCATTCCTGGTGAGAACTTGGACTTCAGCTCAGTCTCGGCAACCTTGGATTTCTCCAGCCCAATGTACCTGCCATGTGGTGACATCTTTTATCTCTGCGCAACCCTTAAGAAGGCTGATACTGCTTCCAAGAACTTTACCCTCTCTGGTCGTCCAAATGATGCATTATTGACTGCTTGTGAACGCAAGGCATGTGAAGGCGTCATTGTAGAAAACACAGAGTTAACATTTACCACAGATAAACCATTCGTCAAGGAGGGCAGTACAGAGACTCTGGAGTTTAACATCTCAATGGAACCTGCTAGTGATTCTTCAACTTTAACCACTGGGGTGTCTTTGTGGTCTGTAAAAGCATTTGGCAGCTCTATGAGTGATGGTTCTGGTGACCGTTCTGCTGTAGTCGCAGTAGACACTACAGGGGTTGGAGCAGTAGGAGTTACTCCAGGTCAGTAAAGTTATTATTTTATTATTCAAAATATATATTAGTTTAATAAATTGTAATTTATGTCCACTATTTAACTTGGAATTCATTTATATTTTGTGTCTATTTACAATAGTGAAATTTTTGTATATTAAAAATGTTGAATACTTGGTAAATTTTCTGTAGTAATAATAATATATGAAGTATTTTATTAAATTTCTTCCTTTGTTTCCCTTACAGGATCGAATACAGATCTCTCATTACTTTCAGTAGTCTTTGATTTGTCAAGCATCAGCTGTTCAAGTTTTATGTACATGTGTGTGGAGGTATCACGCAATGATGCAGCAGATCCACTCTTTTCACTTCAAGGTTCACCAACAGGCGATGCCCTTGTGGGATGTTCTCCAATTGAATGTATTGGTAGGTAGCTTTTAAGGAATGTGGAATGGCAGTTAATGAAAATATAATAGTTAAACCTATTAATCTAGGCCTAGATCTCATGCCTAGCCCTACAGAAGATATCCTACTTCTACTAATCTTAAGTACTATACATACTATTAAGTTTTATGTTGCAAATTTGTTTGAATTGCTTTATTTATATTTCTTATTTATTTGGTATAAAAACCTCACATTAAATCCAAAAGGCAATCCTGTTATGTGAGTTAACATAACAAGAAACATGAAAACAATAATCACAAAAAGTACAAATTACAAAAACATAGTAAGCAGTATTTACCCTCACCTCTCCGAGGAGATATTGCAATAACGCGCGCCGGTGTGTGTGTATGTCTGTGTGTCCTTCCGGGCTCATAACTCCAAAACTACGGGATCGATTTACTTCAAATTTCTACATATTGAAAATGTTACATTTGTCTCAGTCCTCAAATTGCTGGAAGTAAGATACAGATTTTAGAATGTTATTTATATTTTTTCTGGCGGCAACAGACATATCCAACACGATCGGATAGTTTGACCTCATCTGGAAAATACTGTTCCAATGATGTTTCATTGTACTTCTATAGGGATTGATAAGAAGCCAAAAAAGAATGCTAGCTGTTGGTAAACAATAAACAATAGGTAGGGATAGACCAAAACTCAGCCAGCCACCGGCGACATCAAGCGTAGCCTTTTCAGGCTTTTTTAAAATATTTAATAAGCACGAAAAATTTACTCACTTTTTATTATGAAGTGGTTGATTCTGTAGATCTCAACCCTACTAACTACTAGTTGCCCTAGAAACTAGTCATCCAACCTTTGTAGGTGAAACTTAGTGGTTCTTACAGTCTCATATAAGTCCTGAAGAGAAGGGCTGATGCTGAAGTGTTAATACAGCCACTCACTGTGTCGAATGATGGACATACGTGTTGTATGACCATCATTCAGTGAGTGCCCAGCTCTAGATGAAGTAGACCAATATAAAATTTAAGAACCTTCTTGCAAGACGTATAGTACAGTCAAACTCGCCTTAGTTGAATGTGCCCAAGTCGAAAAATTGTCAAAGTCAAAATTATTTTCATGTCACTTCATCTTCCCTATATTTACAATGGTTAATATTTGCTCTAACTCGAATAACTTAAAGTCGAATAAAAATGAATGAAATTACATGCCAAATTGATCTGTTTTCCCTAATTGTTAGTCCGAAGTCAAAGTCAAAATCTTGACGTAAAACTTCAATCATTTTAAGCTGTCGCTGCTTTACCAATATCGCTGTGAACATCAACAAGTGACTCATACATTTGTTAATGCAGAAATTCACACGCTTAGTAAGCCCGACAAGTGACTCTTGTTTACATTGCACAGTGGTACTTTGTGTAGTTTATTTTACATGTGACTCACATTCCTCACTATTGTTCATATAACAGCGACAAGCGACTAATGTTTAAAGGCCAGCTCCGGGCATACATTTTCTGTTCACTATGTGTTCAAATACATTATTATAAGATATCATGCGACTAATCTCGACAAAAAAATTCGCAAATTTGACAGAAAACAGAGAATATAAAAATCTGCTTAGAACCGCAAAAATCAAGCAGTCGACTTTTATTAAACATAATTGCCATAACAGAATCAATAATACAATTGATGAAACTACAAAAAAAAATGATAGAAGAGAGTAGTTTATGGATTAACTTGCATATAAAACAAAGATCTAGGCCAAGGAGGTTTTAAGGCCCCCCCCCCCCAGGCTAGGCCTAGTATCAAAAACAGCCTAGTTGCTAGGCTAATCATCACATAGTCATACTGAACTGTAGAGGAGGCCTTGGCCTGTAAATACTACTATACTATATTTATTAATGTAAGGCCTGCTGTTGCCTCATTCATTCTCTGAGAATTTCCCTTTTTCGATTTGTAGACAAGTTTGATAACATCCTAATATCAAGGCACAGTTTCTTGAATTTATCATCATTAAACAACTGTGGTCTCCCATTTTTCCTTCAATTAGTAGAAAATGATACCACATAGCAACGACAACCAACCCAGTCGTCTCAACTCGTCCATCTTCCTAGCCAGGCTGGGAAAAAATCCTGCTGGGCTGGCATAGGTCCTTCTCCTGTCGACGATTTCCCAACGATATAGGGCCTAGGCCTCACCTCTGTCTGAAAGGCATACATAGCTAGACCTAGATCGATCAATCTACCACTAAACCTTCCCGTCTATCTTTCCACTATTACTACTCAACCAAAATAGGCCTACTCCTGTCTTTAGTTTTTTTATTCATCATACTTGTCATCTTCTCCCTCGCACTTTTTTACGTAAAAAAGGAATGGAGCGAGCGGAGGAATGGATTGGCAAGTTAGAGCATGTCCAAAGCCCAGAGCGATTAAGCCCAGAGCGATTGACTCCCCGCAAAGTGAAAAAAATCAAGTGGGTACGGTGGGGAATAAATGATAATTGCGCAGAAATACGTACTTGACGTAAAATAAAAACACCAGAAACAAAAAGTTCGACTAAATTTACCCTAGTTTAGTCATTTAGTGTAATTTTTTGCCCTATTGTTTAATTGTTATGATTTTTTCAAAATGCCTGCTCTTATGATCATTTGTGTGCAAAAGAATAGGAATTTTGCTGGGTAAGTTTACCTATAACCCCACTTTCAAAAAAGTACTTATTTTCAAAAAAATCATGTAGCAAAACAAATTCAGAAAAATCCCGAAACATAGGTGAATCAATAGATTGATAGTAACTATTAAATATATAATCAATAGAAATTTTTTGCCCGGAGCTGGCCTTTAAGCACTGTTTCAGGTTTTGTTAGTTCTTTTTTAAATACAGTAAATTAAATTGTATTGTAAGATACGTACAGTAATCGTAAAATAAATGTCTTATGGAATAATTTAGGTATAGGGAATAACCCGTCATATAAAACAAATGTGCTACTGTAGTTTTATCTTCATCCCGATCTTCGTTGCATACAATCTAACTGCAGAGCATCACCTGCTCTCGTCACAGTGCAGCGAGAAGCAAGCATGTGCATGAGTCAGCGTGACCACTCACAATTTTTGATATACCCAATGACTGGGTCGAAATTACCCAAGATTCAGC